AATACTCACACAAAGACCCATAGACTCACACAGAGACACATAGACTCACACAGAGACCCATAGACTCACACAGAGACCCATCGACTCACACAGAGACCCATAGACTCACACAGAGACCCATAGAATCACACAGAGACACTTAGACTCACACAGAGACCCATAGACTCACACAGAGACCCATATACTCACACAGAGACCCATCGACTCACACAGAGACCCATAGACTCACACAGAGACCCATAGACTCACACAGAGACCCATAGACTCACACAGAGACCCATAAACTCACACAGAGACCTATAGACTAACACAGAGACCCAAAGACTCACACAAAGACCCATAGACTCACACAGAGACCTATAGACTCACACAGAGACCCATAGACTCACACAGAGACCTATAGACTCGCACAGGGACCCATATATTCACACAGAGACCTATAGACTAACACAGAGTCCCATCGGCTCAAAAAGAGACCTATAGACTCACACAGAGACCTATAGACTCACACAGAGACCGAATAGACTCACACAGAGACCCAAAGACTCATACAGAGACCCATAGGCTCACAAAGAGACACATTGACTCACAAAGATACCTATAGACTCACTCAGAGACCCACAGACTCAGACAGAGTCCCATATACTCATACAGAGACCTATAGACTAACACAGGCACCCAAAGACTCACACAGAGACCTATAGACTCACACAGAGACCCACAGACTCGCACAGAGACCTATAGACTCACACAGAGATCCACAGACTCACACAGAGACCCATAGACTCACAAAGAGACCCAAAGACTCACACATAGACCGATAGACTCACACAGAGACCCATCGACTCACACAGAGACCCATAGACTCACACAGAGACCCATAGACTTACACAGACCCATAGATTCACACACAGACCCATAGACTCACACAGAGACCCATAGACTCACACAGAGACCCACAGACTCACACAGAGACCTATAGACTCACACAGAGACCCATAGACTCACACAGAGTCCCATAGACTCACAAATAGACCCATATACTCACACAGAGACCTATAGACTCACACAGAGACCCATAAGCTCACAAAGAGACCTATAGACTCACACAGAGACCCATAGACTCACACAGAGACCTATAGACTCGCACAGGGACCCATATATTCACACAGAGACCTATAGACTAACACAGAGTCCCATAGGCTCAAAAAGAGACCTATAGACTCACACAGAGATCCAAAGACTCACACAGAGACCCATAGACTCACACAGAGACCGATAGACTCACACAGAGACCGATAGACTCAGATAGAGACCCATAGACTCACACAGAGACCTATAGACTCACACAGAGATCCACAGACTCACACAGAGACCCATAGACTCACAAAGAGACCGATAGACTCACACGGAGACATATAGACTCACACAGAGACCCAGAGACTCAGACAGAGACCCATAGACTCACAAAGAGACCCAAAGACTCACACAGAGACCCATCGACTCACACAGAGACCCATAGACTCACACAGAGACCCATAGACTCACACAGAGACCCAATAGACTCACACAGAGACCCAAAGACTCACACAGAGACCCATAGACTCACACAGAGACCGATAGACTCACATAGAGACCCACAGACTCACACAGAGACCCAAAGACTCACACAGAGACCCATAGACTCACACAGAGACCGATAGACTCACATAGAGACCCAATAGACTCACACAGAGACCCAAAGACTCACACAGAGACCCATAGACTCACACAGAGACCCATAGACTCACACAGAGACCCATAGACTCACACAGAGACCCATCGACTCACACAGAGACCCATAGACTCACACAGAGACCCATAGACTCACACACAGACCCATAGACTCACACAGAGACCCATAGACTCACACAGAGACCGATAGACTCACATAGAGACCCACAGACTCACACAGAGACCCAAAGACTCACACAGAGACACATAGACTCACACAGAGACCGATAGACTCACATAGAGACCCAATAGACTCACACAGAGACCCAAAGACTCACACAGAGACCCATAGACTCACACAGAGACCCATAGACTCACACAGAGACCCATAGACTCACACAGAGACCCATCGACTCACACAGAGACCCATAGACTCACACAGAGACCCATAGACTCACACACAGACCCATAGACTCACACAGAGACCCATAAACTCACACAGAGACCCATAAACTCACACAGAGACCCATAGACTCACAAAGAGACCCAAAGACTCACACAAAGACCGATAGACTCACACAGAGACCCACAGACTCACACAGAGACCTATCGACTAACACAGAGACACAAAGACTCACACATAGACCCATAGAATCACACAGAGATCCATAGACTCACACATAGACCCATAGACTCACACAGAGACCCATAGACTCACACAGAGACCCAAAGACTCACACAGAGACCCATAAACTCACACAGAGACCGATAGACTCACATAGAGACCCATAGACTTCTCACCCATTTCTGTAGTACTGCTTCTTGTTGTCGTATTTCGCGTGTTGTCCTTCCCCTGTACCTCTGATGAGCGGGTTGGCTAGGTAGGGCGGTGCAAAAGAAGTTCTAGACATGTGACGTCAACACATCTACGCCTCGATATAAGGAACGCAACAGGTGGGTTTCTTCACAAATCTGGTTGTCCGCCTGATGAAGCTGGTTGTAATTACTGGCGAAACGTCGTAACTCAGATTGTAAATGTTGTGGCTTGGCTCTCCAACACACCGGTGTGCTGTACTAGTATACTACACTATACACTACACTATACACTACACTAAACACTACACTATACACTACACTACTATATACTACACTATACACTACACTACTATACACTACACTATAGACTACACTACTATATTCTACACTATACACTACACTACTATACACTACACTACTATACACTACACTACTATACACTACACTACTATACACTACACTACTATACACTACACTATACACTACACTATACACTTCACTATACACTACTATACACTTCACTATACACTAAACTACTATACACTACACTACTATACACTACACTATACACTACACTATACACTTCACTATACACTACACTACTATACACTTCTATACACTTCACTATACACTACTATACACTACACTACTATACACTACACTACTATACACTACACTACTATACACTACACTATACACTACACACTAGTGCTGTACTAGTGACGAATTGTCACGTTTTGTTAACGTGGACAACCCTTATTAGTTGGCTGTGTCGGGTGGTGGCGGGTTTAACGACACATTAATATGCACGCGATGAAACCCAACAAAACCCCGCATTATGGATACACAGATACATACATCACATTGCGGGAAATGTTACCTGAAGATTGCTCGATTTGAGATCACACAGTAGCAGCAGCAGCAGGAGCGACATCGCTACCTTCTACAACTTCTGTAACACTATCACCCTGTCAGCACCTTCCTCAAGAAGAGCCTTGAGATTATTTAGTGAGCCCCTGTTTCTTGGCTACGAGACGTTAACGATTTCGCCTGGTATGCAGGAGGCTCTGGGTTCGATCCTGACCCCTGACGCCTGCTGCTCTATATTTGAAGTCTGCGTCTCTCTCTCTCTCTCCCCGTGACCGCGTGAATTTTTCTCCCAATCCTCCGATTTTCCCCCTCCACATTTAGAATGAACATCACCCGTTGAGAGAGTTGTTTGTCTGCTTGCTATACATTTACACACGATGATGATATTGATAATTCACTTAATTGAGCTGTCATTTGTAACTGCCTGGTCACTGAAGAAAACGAGCTATCTAGTTCAGTGGGGTCAAATAAATAAAGGTAGTTGATCTTCTTGATTCTTTCGGTAAAGTCACGTAGAAGGGAAATAATAAATAATAAAAATAAAACATAATAAAATACAATTCTCATGTTTAATTTTTATCATTTTATTATTTCCCTTCTACGTGACTTTTCCGAAAGAACCAAGAAGATGAATCCCTGCAGTCACGAAAACTTTAAATAGAATTATTTTATTATGTTTTATTTTTATTATTTTATTATTTCCCTTCTACGTGACTTTACCGAAAGAACCAAGAAGATGAATCCCTGCAGTCACCAAAGCTTAAATTGATAAAGATAGTTTAGTTTTAATTTGGGTCTCTGTGGGCTGATGTGGGTCTATGTGAGTATGGGTGTCTGTGCGTATCTGTTAAAGCACGCGTTTAAAGTATGTGGCAGATGTAAGATAGACATTATCCGTCACTTCGCTCAGCTATCATTAGTGACAACAAGATCGCTTCTGTCCAAAAGGACTACACATCAGCTAAGCTGGGGACCTTAACACCCGATAAAAAAAAATCTTTAATAAATATAAATACATAAGAACACCAGACCCAGTGTCACAACCCGGCGAGCTGAGCGGCTGCAGCTTTTCCGTCTGAGTCCACCCACGCGCTCACCGCCCACGCCTACGAGTCCATAAGAGCGCGGGGCGAGCACTGGGGTCGCGGGACAAACCTCACGGAGTGGTGGCAGCAGCAGCAGCAGTAGTAGCAGCTGCAGCAGTAGCAGCAGTAGCAGCAGCAGTAGCAGCAGCAGCAGTAGCAGCAGCAGTAGCAGCAACAGCAGCAGCAACAGCAGCAGTAGCAGCAGTAGCAGTAGCAGCAGTAGCAGCAGCAACAGCAGCAGCAGCAGTAGCAGCAGCAGCAGCAGTAGAAGCAGCAGTAGCAGTAGCAGCAGCAGTAGAAGCAGCAGTAGCAGCAGCGGCAGCAGCGGCAGCAGCAGCAGCAGTAGCAGCAACAGCAGTAGCAGCAGCAATAGCAGCAGCAGTAGCAGCAGTAGCAGCACCAGTAGTAGCAGCAGCAGCAGCAACAGCAGTAGAAGCAGCAGTAGCAGCAGCAGCAGTAGCAGCAGTAGCAGCACCAGTAGTAGCAGCAGCAGCAGCAACAGCAGTAGCAGCAGCAATAGCAGCAGCAGCAGTAGCAGCAGTAGCAGCACCAGTAGTAGCAGCAGCAGCAGCAACAGCAGTAGAAGCAGCAGTAGCAGCAGCAGCGGCTGATCGAGAGGGGTGTGGGGGGTGGCAGAAGCCGTGGCGCTGGGACCGGTCGGTTCGGGTTTCCGCTCCGTCGATTCGGGTTTTCGCTCCGAGCGACTTTGACCTGCAAGCGGCCCCAGCGGGTCGACAGCATCGCCCGCAGTCTGCCCGACACGCAACGCGCGGACAGGTGAGCGGTGATACACGGCTTACCTGTATAACACACACACACAGGTGACACACACACATGTGAGCGGTGATACACAACTTACCTTTACAACACACACACACACAGGTGACACACACATACACACAGGTGAGCGGTGATACACAACTTACCTGTATAACACACACACACACAGGTGACACACATACACAGGTGAGCGGTGATACACAACTTACCTTTACAACACACACACACACACAGGTGACACACACATACACACAGGTGAGCGGTGATACACAACTTACCTGTATAACACACACACACAGGTGACACACACACAGGTGATTGTGTTACACAGCTTACCTGTATAACACACACACAGGTGACACACACACACAGGTGACACACACACACAGGTGATTGTGTTACACAGCTTACCTGTATAACACACACACAGGTGACACACACACACAGGTGACACACACACACAGGTGATTGTGTTACACAGCTTACCTGTATAACACACACACACAGGTGACACACACACAGGTGATTGTGTTACACAGCTTACCTGTACAGCACACACACACGCACACACGGGTGCATGTAGCACACACACGTACGATACACACATTCACACCTTGTTCAACAGCTCACCTGACTACAATAACACATTCACACACAGTTAACAGCCTAGCTGACTACAATACACACGTTCACACACAATTAAACAGCCCAGCTGACTACATAACACATACAGTCTGCCTGCATAGTACATACAAATACACTCTGGGCACAGAGGTATGTGTTTAACAGCCTCAGCCTGTATATACATCAACGCACAGGTATGATACCAGGTTGCAAAGCCTTGCTGCTTAGTGCGTACTACACACATACGGGTACTGTATGTGCAGTGCACAACAACGACAAACTCAAAAGGGAAAAAAAAACCGATTTAACAGGTGACGTTTCAGGCAATGGCCCTCCTCTGTGTGAGTCTGTGGGTTTCTGTGTGAGTCTGTGGGTTTCTGTGTGAGTTTATATGTCTCTGTGTGAATCTATGGGTCTGTGTGTGAGGCTATGGGTCTATGTGTGAGTCTATGGGTCTTTGTGTGAGTCTACGGGTCTATGTGTGAGTCTATGGGTCTCTGTGTGAGTCTGTGGGTTTCTGTGTGAGTCTATGGGTCTCTGTGTGAGTCTATGGGTTTCTGTGTGAGTTTATGGGTTTCTGTGTGAGTCTTTGGGTCTCTGTGTGAGCTTATGGGTCTATGTGTGAGTTTATGGGTCTCTGTGTGAGTCTATGGGTCTATGTGTGAGTCTATGGGTCTCTGTGTGAGTCGGTGGGTCTTTGTGTGAGTCTATGGATCTCTGTGTGAGTCTATGTGTCTCTGTGTGAGTCTATGTGTCTCTGTGTGAGTCTATGTGTCTCTGTGTGAGTTTATGGGTCTCTGTGTGAGTCTATGTGTCTCTATGTGAGTCTATGTGTCTATGTGTGAGTCTATGGGTCTCTGTGTGAGTCTATGGGTCTCTGTGTGAGTTTATGTGTCTCTGTGTGTGTCTATGGGTCTCTGTGTGAGTCTATGTGTCTCTGTGTGAGTCTATGGGTCTCTGTGTGAGTATATGTGTCTCTGTGTGAGTCTATGTGTCTCTGTGTGAGTCTGTGGGTCTCTGTGTGAGTTTATGGGTCTCTGTGTGAGTCTATGGGTCTCTGTGTGAGTCTATGTGTCTCTGTGTGAGTCTATGGGTCTCTGTGTGAGTCTATGGGTCTCTGTGTGAGTCTATGGGTCTCTGTGTGAGTCTATGTGTCTCTGTGTGAGTCTATGTGTCTCTGTGTGAGTCTATGGGTCTCTGTGTGAGTCTATGGGTCTCTGTGTGAGTCTATGTGTCTCTGTGTGAGTCTATGTGTGAGTTTATGGGTCTCTGTGTGAGTCTATGTGTCTCTGTGTGAGTCTATGGGTCTCTGTGTGAGTCTATGGGTCTCTGTGTGAGTCTATGTGTCTCTGTGTGAGTCTATGGGTCTCTGTGTGAGTCTATGTGTCTCTGTGTGAGTCTATGTGTCTCTGTGTGAGTCTATGGGTCTCTGTGTGAGTCTATGTGTCTCTGTGTGAGTCTATGTGTCTCTGTGTGAGTTTATGGGTCTCTGTGTGAGTCTATGGGTCTCTGTGTGAGTCTATGGGTCTCTGTGTGAGTCTATGTGTGAGTTTATGGGTCTCTGTGTGAGTCTATGTGTCTCTGTGTGAGTCTATGGGTCTCTGTGTGAGTCTATGGGTCTCTGTGTGAGTCTATGTGTCTCTGTGTGAGTCTATGGGTCTCTGTGTGAGTCTATGTGTCTCTGTGTGAGTCTATGTGTCTCTGTGTGAGTCTATGGGTCTCTGTGTGAGTCTATGTGTCTCTGTGTGAGTCTATGTGTCTCTGTGTGAGTCTATGGGTCTCTGTGTGAGTCTATGGGTCTCTGTGTGAGTCTATGTGTCTCTGTGTGAGTCTATGTGTCTCTGTGTGAGTCTATGGGTCTCTGTGTGAGTCTATGGGTCTCTGTGTGAGTCTATGTGTCTCTGTGTGAGTTTATGTGTCTCTGTGTGAGTCTATGTGTCTCTGTGTGAGTTTATGGGTCTCTGTGTGAGTCTATGGGTCTCTGTGTGAGTCTATGTGTCTCTGTGTGAGTCTTTGTGTCTCTGTGTGAGTCTATGGGTCTCTGTGTGAGTCTATGGGTCTCTGTGTGAGTCTATGGGTCTCTGTGTGAGTCTATGTGTCTCTGTGTGAGTCTATGGGTCTCTGTGTGAGTCTATGGGTCTCTGTGTGAGTCTATGGGTCTCTGTGTGAGTCTATGGGTCTCTGTGTGAGTCTATGTGTCTCTGTGTGAGTCTATGTGTCTCTGTGTGAGTCTATGGGTCTCTGTGTGAGTCTTTGTATGTATGTCTGTTGAACTTCTTTCGCGCCGTACGTAGCCAACTGTGCTAAACGCAGGTGCATCCATCATGAAACAAACTTTACAATGTAATTCTTATCCGTGTACATTGCATACTGTTCATATGCCGCATACTGTGCACACTGTATACTGTGCACACATCACCATACTGTACTCGCATTTCTCTGAACTGTTCACCTGCATTCACGACACTCGTTTTATGATTTGTAAACATTAACTACTGCAGCATGCAGTTGAATTACCGCACAATACAAACACATACCACGCGTACACACACACACACCGACTCCCTGCCACCATAGGTTTAGGAGTCAAGGCTAGGGGTTATTTGTAGGGCATAGTTGTTAGGGCACGACTTTGTATTTGGGTTTACTTCTAGGCATGGGGGTTAAAGTAGGAATACTGGGTAGAGGTTCGCGTTTTGGTGATCGGAGTTAGTGTATAGTGTTAAGGTTAGGTCAGTGCTCATGAATATGGCTGGAGGTCAGGTTTCGGTTTTATAGCGAGGGTTGGGGGTTCAGGTTATATAGTGAGGGTTGGGGGTTCAGGTTAAGGGTTGGGTGTTTGGTGAGTGTTTAGGGTGAGGTCTAAGTCTGGAGTTAGGGGCAATGTCAGGGTTAGGTATAGAGTTAGGGGTTAGCGCTGGGGTTAGGTCTATGTTCAGGGTTGAGGTTAGTCTTAGAGGGCAAGTCTGTCTATGGTTAACCAGAAGAATGTATGTCTGGGGTTCGGAGTTGGGGCCAGGCTTAACTGGATATACACGTGTTTGCACTTGGTTGCTATGTGTAGGCAAACACAGGCTTTGTGTTAACAACTCCTGTTGTCAAGACACATAGCTGGCCCTTATCTGTTGTGTCCCGCACATTCACACATTCATCAATCACTGTGAGTGTACACATTCACGTGTGAGTGTAATATCGTACACACACAAGTGTGTAGGCCAGCGGTCGGGAACCTATGGCTCACGAGCCATATATGGCTCTTCCAGTGACGGCATATGGCTCCCAGACAATTTTGAGTTGAAAAAAAAATAAAAAATAAATCAGTTTGGAACTGATTTTAAAATACTTGTGATATTACTTAATAATACTGTGTCATTTTAAAGTAAACAGAAATTAGTTTTGAAGATACATTTCACGGGTCACGGGGCCTCAACGCCTGCGTGAAGCTCAACCTCACCACGTATGAACCAGACTACAAAGCCATCAGCAAAACCACGCAGCAGCAGAAGTCGCATTAAAAGTAAGACATTTTTAATTTATTAAACGTAAAAAATACTATATGGCTCTCAATGAAATATATTTAGAAATATTTGGCTTTTATGGCTCTCCCAGTCAAAAAGGTTCCCGAACCCTGGTGTAGTCTGTACACACTGGACCACCCGGTACACGTAGGTAACGCATGTTCGCACGTATTTATTGACGCGTGCACGTTTGCAGGAAGCCACCGGAGTGATGCACGTTTAAATAAAACATGTATGTATGTTGAACTTCGTTCACGCCGTACGTAGTCAACCGTGTGAATCGAAGGTGCGGGGAAAGGACAACAAATTATAGATCTCTGTGTGAGTCTATGTGTCTCTGTGTGAGTCTATGGGTCTCTGTGAGTCTATGGGTCTCTGTGTGAGTCTATGGGTCTCTGTGTGAGTCTATGGGTCTCTGTGTGAGTCTATGGGTCTCTGTTTGAGTCTATGGGTCTCTGTGTGAGCCTATGGGTCTCTGTTTGAGTCTATGGGTCTCTGTGTGAGTCTATGGGTCTGTGTGTGAGTCTATGGGTCTCTGTGTGAGTCCATGGGTCTGTGTGTGAGTCTATGGGTCTCTGTGTGAGTATATGGGTCTCTGTGTGAGTTTATGAATCTCTGTCTAAGTCTATGGGTCTCTGTGTGAGTCTATGGGTCTCTGTGTGAGCCTATGGGTCTACGTTTGAGTCTATGGGTCTCTGTGTGAGTCTATGGGTCTCTGTGTGAGTCTATGGGTCTCTGTGTGAGTCTATGGTTCTCTGTGTGAGTCTATGGGTCTCTGTGTGAGTCTATGGGTCTCTGTGTGAGTCTATGGGTCTCTGTGTGAGTATATGGGTCTCTGTGTGAGTTTATGAATCT